TGCATTAGAAAAGAAAAATAGCAAAGAAACTAGAAAGCAGTTGTAGTCAATGGTGACGGGAGGGATTTTCAAGAAGCTTCTACTGAATCATAGAGATAGTTTGGGAATAAAGCATTGAGCAATTACATGCACATTTGGGAAGTATTTCCTTTACCTCACATCAAATAACCATGCCCATACTTCGCAATTCTGACTCCTGAGTCAAAAAAGAACTAAACTTCACCTACTCCAAATAAACCCTATTTCATACTTTCTCTACATCCTGGAGATTGTACCAATCATCTCCGAGGTTGCGTCGAGCTCTCTAAGGGACAAAATTTCCGCAATACCACAATTTTAACACATATCGTCACTCAAAGCCGAATAAAATTTACAACGATACCATGCTCCTTTCCGGGCGCAAAATATTACGTCATGAGATCACGCAATCGTGTCGTCAGTTAAATTGGAAAAAAGTTCTTTTTTTTGGTTGGCAACAAAAACGTTTTTTACCTTGGATAAGTCACGCCCGGCCAGGAGGCTATCACTCAATTTTCTTTTCAACGTGAGTGATCTTATTTTTACTATCAGTTAGCTTGTACAATATTTATTAGACTATTTTATTGAAACCGATCCCCACAACAACTGCTTCCATCCTTGCAATTTTGCTTTCGCGACGCATCGTACACGTTACAAATGTTATCGACAAATAAATCTTTTCTATTGTGGAATCGGTCACCGCTTCTCCAGCACTTAAAACGTCTTTCCTTTTCCTTTTTCTTTTGGACTCGGCAAAGGGGTGTCGGGCGAAGGTCTGGTACCGGACCAGGAAACACCCCTGCTCAGTTGATTCTCCAGATTCTCAACTACATGAGCTTTGGTGTCGATGTTCCTCTCTTCTCCACCCGGGTGTTAATTTTCTCTCTCTGGTTGTCTTTCCATATTGTCTTCCACTCACGGTCACCTACACCAAACACAATGGCAAAATAACCATCTCCTTCTCACTTATCACATTTTATTTGGGTAGCACACAGTCACTTTTTTACACTGTGCAGGGATGTGTCCGACCCAGCCCTTTGCCAGGACCGGGTAGCTATATGCAACCGATTCTCTCTCTCTTCAAAGCTGTCTTTCATAAATACTTTCCCTTAAAATGGTTGATGGAATTTTTATTTATTTTAATCTCCCATCTCCTTTCTATAAATGAAAAACAGTTTTTGAATCAGGCTTTTTTTTTGGCTTAAATTATGATTTTGATAAGGAATTTCAGAATATTATAAGAGAACAATGCAAATTTGGAATAATACAAGTTTTGAATCACAAAAATGTTAAGTGATTCATAGTGACATTCACAACAATAATGTACTATGCTTAAGTTGGCTTGATTTATTTCATATTTCTTTTTACTAAAGAAGAACATTTTTCCTCTCTTTTTCTTATAATATCGATGAATAGAAAATTTACATGAAATAAAACAATTTTTTTTACAAAATTAAACTACAAACGATATATTTTCAGCATCTGATTCACATCTTCGATGTTTAGTTTATTTTTCGATTCTACACTTTTGAACTATTTACTACTCTTTTTCTTGATATACTTTTCTTTCCAAGTAAATATATTATACCTTCCACTTCTTAAACATATACTATCGATCACATCAGCTTCTCTACCATGTACTACCTGTCAGCAATCAACATCTTCAACACTAATATACGACACCTGTCAAGACCACGACTGCCTAAAAAGAAGGAGCTTAGTTACTCTAATTAATGGTGATGCCTTATGCCTTTCACGCACTTTCGTCCTGGCCGAATGACATACGACTCTAATTCTGGAAAAAACCGATAAGCGATCAAGACACCTTCCAATTAATGTTATTTTGCCTTAGCAATGGCTGTTCTTCACAACTTATTACTGAATGCATCCTCACTTCATAACATTGGGCAACAACAAAGAAGGAGAAAAACGAGCAAAGCAAATGGATTATATCAAGAACAATATTGGCTCTAAACCACACATTTGGTTTTATTTTGATTTACACCATGCAAAATGACTCTTTTTGAATGGACAAGTTAGGACAAAAGCAGCCTCTGACTACACTTATTCTACATCGAACATGAAATACCTATCTTTTCAGATCGTATAATTGTCAATTTAACATCAGGTAAACTTTTATAAATTTCTGAGATATTCCCAGTAGGTGTCCCATGGAATATCGAAATGTAGTTCGTACTTTCTGATCCCTATAACAACTTGCTTAAAGAAGGTTTTTGCTTTAATTAAAGCCAAGGTCCTTAGGACGTGTTGGTACGGAGACTGCGCTGAGGGAAACTTCAGCCCCTATTCCTCTCCCTCTCCCTCCCCCCC